TCCTTATCCCCCTCTCCTCATCGTACTAATTGCTAGGAACCTATCAGGATGCATCGCAACGTCCAAAAACATTAAAAAAGTCCAACCTACGCAAAAATGGCGGCCCCACAGCGTCCCTTTCTGTAACCGTAAATACTCACAATGTAGCATAAGTTACCACATGACGGGAGTATTTAATATTACGGGGCGAGGTGGTTGAATATCAGCCCGAGACCTTCAACCCTAAACCCGAATAAAAGCCTAAGATACCTCTTTAAGAGTGGGGGGGGGTCATATTTTAGGGGGAGGGGATTAACAATACCCCTAAATTAGTTGCGAGCCCAAGGCTTGACTGGGGTTGGTTGGCCTGTGGTCTTCCCATTCATAAGTCCCCGCCGCCCCACCAAAGGTAACCCGTAACCCCCCAGGGTTTAAGGAGCTAATAAGGATTATAGGGCTTAATAAGGCCCAACAGGGCTGGAAATCTGGGGCGGGTAGTGTTCGAATTCTGGGGTGGGTACCTTGGGTGGGGGAACTGCTATAATCCTTTACTTCACAAGGCAAAAATGAGCACTGGGGGTTCCCAAAATCATGGGTACTTGTTTGGGCGTCCCCAGAATAAGAATACGGACTCTAGCATTTTGAGGTCTATGTTGGGGTTCCCCGTACTTTTGGAAAAGTACCAGTTGAGGAAGGGGCTTTCTTCTCCGCAGGGGGCCCCCCATCGTTCAGGGAAACCTCCAATTCCGGGCAGGTGCTTCTTAGGAACTTGATGTAGGTTGAGCATGATAAACTGAACTTTCAAATTCTCTTTGCGGCACTATGTACTGCAAACGTACGTGTCGAACAAAAACAGAATGAAAAGGGACTCTCCCTCTCCACAGTGAGACCCCATTGACTTGAATGAAAGTAAATCGGCAGTTCCCTGCAGGCACATCTTCAGCCTCCTGTAAAATTTCAGCCTACTGATGTCTTGAGATCCCGATGGGGAATTGTCTGTAACATCTAGTCCCTAATCACAACAAATCCTTTTCAGAACCCTAGTTTAAACTGATAATGCTAACACCAAGTGCGTAATGAGAAATAAACCCTAGCAAGACCCCAATGAAGAATGATACCCATTGACGCCTTGATTCAGAAATCATTCATAACAACACCTTATTAAGAATAGTCCCAAACAGGACCCGAACAGGAATAGGCCCCTAACCAGCTTCGAAGTAGCAATAACCCATTGCAAGGGCCCGATTACGAATCTTTCCTGCTAAGGCTACGCCCCGTGCCCTACGCAATGGCCTGTTGCCGTTTCTATGATAAGAAAACAACAGATATAGACCATAAGGAGAGAGAACGCTCAACGCCCTTTCTCTGCACCGCGAAGCGATAGGGTCCTCTAGAATTTAGAGTATATAGTCCTCCTTAAGTAGATAGAACATGGGGTATATGGGGATCTTACTACAGTATACCCAAAGCCATAATCTATCTACTTAAGGGGGACTATAGGCCGTAAAAAAACTCCTAGCCAGAAATAGCCACGGGTAAAGCCCCATCCCTAATAATGCGATGACTAGGAAGCGCCACAGACAGCGTTATCATACATGACCAATAAAAAATCCCGTATTCAAGTTTGCTCAGCGATCATCCATAATGAAACCGCTTTTCGGAAGCTTCTGCTGAATACGATCGGAATTTCTGTTGTTTGCAGAATATTTATTCGAAGGTTAAAAGACTGTCAATACTATTGTTTATCTTGTTTTGGTTCCCTACAATTTCGATACGTATGAGGTCAACATATTTGGGAAATTGGCAGGCTCTATGCTGGATTTCTCCATTGCAAAATCATAATCATGCATCCTGGAAACTATGCATAGAACCTGAAAAAAGGAAGCATTTCCCCAGAACCCAGACTCGTTTTGGTTCCCAGAAATCCGTTGAGACAAGGTATCCTTCACAAGCTCAGAACTTTCTGTTTAAACCCCCTAACACCACCATACATCTAGATCATGTTTCAACTCAAAACAATGCATCCAATTCCATGTTGAGCGATCAGCTGCTGAAGGCTCAGGCGAGTAGCACTCCGAGTGTGCAAAAATGATCCAACATGAGAGGACACAACCCCAAACCCTAAACCCAAAACCCTATACTCATGGCTTAGGCCGCCCGGCTACAATGGTGGGAGCCGACATACCTGGATCTGCCTCAGCACAGCCACGGGCACCGTAGCACCCACGAGAGGCCCGGTACTGGACCCTGTTCGCCATGGGACCAGTACTCGTCCCCTTATAAGGTGAGTACCTACACCCCAAACCCTTTACCAAAAACAGTAAAAACGGGACCGCATGAGGGGCCTCCCAGGGGCCTCCAGGCCCCTTTCACAGGGCTTCCAGCATGCAGAGCCTTTCAGGAAGGTTGAGGGACTTAAGGCCTCCCAGCGGCCCTCCAGGGGTCTCCCAGACCCCAAACACTCGCAAGCCATTTCAGAGGCCCAGCCGCCCTCACAAAACGTCCTTCTACCCTTCTTGACAAAGTCAGACTTCAGGACAAAGCCTCTGCCGTCTTCCAAGGTTTTTCTTCAAGCGTTTCAGAAACCAGAATCTTGACTACAGAAATGTGGTGTTGTTGACCAAGATGGACCTAACTCAGTTTGGGGCCTAAACCCTAATAGGAGTAGGTTTGGGTGGTTTGGCCGCCTGGGACGGCGTGAGGTGGGTGAATGCGCTAGATGGCCTGCCACAGTCAGACCGAGGCAGCATGTCGCATGGCACTACACGCTCGAAGCGACTCTGTGGCATGACTATCTCTGCTTCAACGCTATATCAGCGCAAACCCTAAACCCTAAACCCTATACCCTGTGCAGCCCAGGAGGTGCAGAAAGATGGCAGTGCGGTTGAGAAGAAGGCCTAAGTTTTGTGTTTTTGCCGTTTGGGCTCTTTTGCAGGTGTGATCTGGGGCATAGGGACTAGGGTTCAGAATTTCTGGTGTAGCATGCCATGCCTTGGAGTGTTAAGTGTTTCAAGATTCTGGGAAGTACTTTAGGAAGGTTAAGGGTGTCGGGGCTTTGGCCTCTCGGTTTTTGAAAGAGCTTAGTGCATGTCAAAGTGTTCCATTTCAGGTTGTTTTGGTTCATGACGGTCCTTCTTTCACTCACTCACCCACACACTAGCTCACTCTTCCTCACTGACTCTCCCTCTCTCCTTTGGAGTGGAGAGATCTATGGTAGACTTCTTTCAGGCATGCCGTTTGGCTGGTTGGCTAAAGTTTTTGGTGGCAATCAAAGAGGGATCTTCTGGAAGTTCTGAAAGAGTTCCATGTGCCTTGTTCTTTTCGTACCTCTTCCTCGGGCACCATGATGTGAGATTCGGACATGCAAAGAGGCGGCTAAAGTATATGTATACCAGCAACAAGACCTCCGCGCAGTGGTTGGACAACCGACAGCAGCAACAGCATGAATGGTTGTGCTTGTGTGCATTAATGTTGGTCACTGTGGAGGCAGAAGAACCGGAAAGACCTGCTGAGGATTTAGAAATGCCCTGGACCCTATAGGGATAAGTACCCAGTGACCCCTAAACCAGGCGCCAGCACCTGAATCCTACTAAACCCCGGACCCTAAACCCTGAAGCCTCATCATCCCCACAGCCGCTACTCCGAGAGGCCATAGAGAGAAGCCTAATGAAGGGGAAGAAGAAACGCAACGCTCGTGGCCTGGTCTTACTGCTGGCGGAGGCCGGGCTTAGGGCTTTTGTCATGTCAGGGGGCAGGGGTCTTTTTCTGAATGTCTGGTGACTGCAAGGGATAATGGTAAGTATCGCGGGGTTGCTAAATGTCCCATGACGCCTCTATGCTGTCAAAGCCATCATATGAGCTGTAGTCTAAGCTCCTAGTATCCCCCTTAATAACCCCAATAATAGCCCCCTAAACACTAATCCCCTTTCAAGGAGTTCAGAGTACACTTCATATGGTAGAAGGGGAGGCCGAGATGACTTGCTTGTCGCTCTGAAAAGCCAGTGGGTCAGCTGAGTATCAGTTCATGTTAGCGGCATACGTGACAGTGTCAGAGTATATTATATTCACCCGATAACTTCACCAAAGCTTTGTTGTAGACATGGTGGGGGACCCCAGTATAGACTCAAATGTATGATATTCCTTATTATGGGGACCCCCAATAAAGTACCCCTAATTTTGGGAAACCCCTAAACCCCAAACCCCAAACCCCAAACCCTACACCCGAAACCATAAACCTAAGTCAGTCCTTTAACTTATGCATAACAGGGACTGCAGGACTACAGGACTGCAGGACCGCAGGACCTAGCACAGGCTTGGAGTGGAGATCCGGCCTGATAATCGACTTGGGGCTTAGCTTCTAGGATTTAGGCTTTAGGGTTTAGGATTTAGGGTTTAGGGGGGAGATCTTTCTGGCTGTGTGCGAGCCCAGATGCAAAAAAGGGTTTTGGGGGATTGGGCTGTGATCAAACCCTAAACCCTAGGGGTGGTTGTG